TTAGCGATGCTAATGTAAACACGACCAGATTACGTCCAAAACAGTCAGGCATTGTTTCTGATAGACGCAAATCTGGATCAGCTCCGTTGTACCCCTGTTGTTAGAGATTTGGGTACGGAGAGGAAAAGAGAGATGGTTTTATTTTCTGACGCTGCGTGAGTTCCTGACACCACCGGGGACACATCGTTATGTATTAAAAGATTAAAAGACATCAAAAGGTGCATTTTTGCATGATAGGTCCCCTTTAAACTCATAACTCCTGACACTTCAACCATTCTGCTATATCCCTGAGCTACCTGACCTGACAACTAACTTTTCGTTTATTTGACTATTGTATTTTGAAAGTCTGCTGCTTAAATTTCAGATTGAACCAGCAACCCTTGGCCTTCAAACCATTCTCTTAACCCAGGGGTCTGCAACCTTTTTGACCAAAAGAGCCATTTTTGCTCCTTTTTTCCCAAACATTTTTTTGTCTGGAGCCGCAAAACATATTTCATAGTTTTTTATTGTTATATCAGACAAAAACTACAGTTTTTTTTGCATTATTAGGCTATTTATTACACTGATATAAAACTGTTAACCTCTAATAAGAAACAAAGAACTCTTATAAGGAGAATTAAAAATAATACACAGGCCTACTTTAAAATAAATTAAACACAGCACTTGGGGAGTCTTCTGCACATTTGAAGGAAAACAAATATTATTAAAATGGGCCCACTTTGAAATAAATAAAACATATAGCTGCACCCTAAAAAGAGTTAAAGGTAGGGTAGGTAAGAATGGAGAAACCAGCTTGAGTGCGCTAGAATTTGAAAGTACACAACCGGAAAAAATCTGCCCCTTCCTTCAGACTTTCTTACAGAGCCCCTCCTCCAACACACACGAACGCGCACATGACCAATGAGGGCACGAGATAAGTTTGTGCACAGATGGAAGGCTGACAGGCAGGTAGGCCATCCAGTTACTTTAGCCGGATGATTGGTCGTGCTTTTTACAGCGCTATGGCTTCCAGAGATTAATTTTTGTATGTATTTATTGTCAAAGCATTTAATATATTCATTGCTATCGGGACGTTAAGAGCATTCCATGGAATATAACAAAAAGTGTATTCTGAAATAAATTACATACCCCATTGAATTATGACTGAAGATCGTCAGCTGTCTTCCTCTCCCTTGTTGTTCCTCGATACGTAAAGGCTGCACCACCTTTGACAACTTCTCTCTACATATCAGACATACCGGTAAACCAGCATCGTTTGCTGTGAAAGCAGATAACTCTGTCCACACAGAATTAAATCCTGTGTTCCTCCGGTACTTTTCTTTGATGTATCCATAGTTCGCTCATCAAGCCGGGGGTCAGGTTATTCGCCTGCAAGAAAAGGCGCTCGCGCGGGACCGTAGCAGGATGTGATTATTAGGTCTCAACCCAGGCCCGGTGACAATGTGATTGTTTTTTATTTATGTGTCACAGTATCACCTCAAAATACAAGATACTAAACATTTTCAACCATGCAACAAAATATAAATAGTCCTACAAATACTTTTATTTTATTTCCTTCTTATTTTTGTCTAAGCTCAAGGGAGCCAGCGCAGAGGGCTTAAAGGGCCGCATGCGGCCCGTGGACCGCGGGTTGCCGACCCCTGTCTTAACCCCTTGAGCTATGTGACATCGAATACATATTTTGCATGGGTACATTTGACTTTTTAAGTCAGAGCTTTCTAATTATTGTACCAGGAATGAAGCCACCTTGAGATCTTCAAAGTTCTTTCTTATCACTCAGGTATTCGACCTGCCTGCTTTGGTCATATTATCCCGCTAGGATGTTGGACCTTTAAACTCACTCTACCATGTGGGGATCGATCCCACAACCTTCAGTTCTCTAACCATTTTGCTCTCCCACTGAGTTATCTGATCTGACATTTGACTTGTGTTTATTTTCCTATTTATCTTCACCTCTGGAACTATAACTTTTTAAGGTCCCCTATTTGACTGTTTTTCATCAATATATTATAGGTCTCAATATATACAAACATGTCTCTGATTGGCTCCAACATCAAAACAGATCATTGCAGCATTACCCATAATCCCCTCTGTTTCAACCGTTTCCAAAGTGCTGATTCTCTGCTGTTACTTTAGATGAAAATAAGGAGCCCCTCCCACGCCCCCTCAGAGAGAGCTCATGGTGCTCTAGAGGAGATTCAGGGGGGTGGGGGGGTTTACCTTGGTTGCTGATTTGCTATGGTTACACAATCCACATAATCGTTATGACATCATAAAGTGGCCAAATCTGAACAAGCTCATTTTCAGACAGGCTTTTATATAAATCAGGACAAAAAAGGAGAGAATCTTTTTTCCTGAAATGTTTCAGAGTCTCTTTCCACAGAGGGGACACATGTTGATGTAGAAGAGACATGAAGAAGAGGGGACACATGTTGATGTAGAAGAGACATGAAGAAGAGGGGACACATGTTGATGTAGAGGAGACATGAAGAAGAGGGGACACATGTTGATGTAGAAGAGGGGGACATGAAGAAGAGGGGACACATGTTGATGTAGAAGAGACATGAAGAAGAGGGGACACATGTTGATGTAGAAGAGACATGAAGAAGAGGGGACACATATAGAAGAGACATGAAGAAGTGGATTTTGCACAGTAGGTGACCTTTAAGCACTAGAGTTGTATTAATGATATGTCATGTTGAGGGTTACAAAGGTCACACAGTGTTTTGCCATTGTTTGCATTGATTCATTACATTCTGTAAAGCTATGAAGCTTAACGTATGTGTTGTTCACTGTATGTTTCTATATAAACATGCTGTAACAAGTTCTTCTGATGTTAGATTTGATATGTAATAAACATTTACACAAGTAATGAAAACTGAGGCTCATCCAGTGAAGATTGACCAGAAGTACAACTTTTCCACATCAGAAACTTGGAGCATGACATAAAATGTTGTAGTAAAGTGAGGCATTAAAGAAGTATGTAAATTATCAGAACAAAACATGTCGAATAAATGCAAAATGGTCGAAATAAGTCACGGTATAGTGTGTAGAAACCAGGCGTAGTATGTCGTTTAAAATGACAGAAAAGGCATAGCATGTCGACAAAATGCAAATTACAATACTATACTATGAATTGTTATTTAATCGACTAAACATTCCTCCAGAGTGCTGGTTGATGGTAAATGAACATTCTTGGTTCCCTGAGGAATAGACACGCATGAAACCTTAAAAATAAGTATATATAAATGTTTTACAAAATAAGATCCATCGTTTAAGCTTTATACATAATGTAAATGTTTTTGTTACAAACTGCATTCTTATCTGTCAAGCTGACCCAGTTACTGTTATCTGAAGGATTTAAATCAAACGCACGTCTGTGTGGGCGTTCTGACAAACAGCGGGGGGCCATCGAGTAAAAACTTTGCACGCTGTCAAAATCAAACGCTGAGGCTAATGATGGTGGGTGGCGCCCTATGTTCCTCACATTTATCGTGAACAAAATCACTTGAAAAGAAACTGCTTCAATAAAGGGTTTTTTCTCCCCGGTGTGTCATATCTAACGATATTGTAGTTTCATGTTTGATTGTAAGTCGAGCTCCTTTTATGTTGTATTACTGTAGAAACCTTTCACCTGTACGCGTGTTCAGCCCTCCTGCTGTGCACCGACTCGCTGTCAAGATGGTCGAGCAACTAATTGGAATTTTCCCGATAATTACAAGCAATTATAATGTACAGCTCTTTTCAGAAAAGGTCATGGAAATAAAAAAGAACAAATATATTGATTTTATGAACCCATAAGATGATAAAAAACGGAAAATAAATAAATAATCCAGAATCAAATGCTCTTGATTCTAATGAGGCAATTTTCTTGGCATTTTACAAGAAAAAAATATAATAAATTGTGATTATTCTTACTATTCCAATGTCAGAATTAACATCTTCTACACGTGTTTGACATTTAATAAGCTCTCCATTTGCTTGCATGATCTTCAGGTTAAAGAGCTTTGTATAAAACATGTATTTTGACATAAAAATCTAATTGCGTGACACACACCTTCTTTTGTTTTTAATAGTCTGTAACCTTTACTCTAGCAGCGTCTAAGAATAAATGTACACTTTTAACCTCGCCACTGATGTAGATGCAAAGCAGAATCATCAGTTTGTTCGGTCTATTGACGTCTTTATATTATTGGATGCAATGAACATCTGAGCCTCTGGAGATATATTAGGCTGCTCTCTGCCTTTCGGGGTTTGGCGCTAATATGCAGTTCATTTCCACAATACGGTTTTTATTACTGTCTCTGAATGACTGGAAGTAATCTAAAGGACCATGAGCACAGCTGTGCAGTACTCACACTTTAATTGAATTAAACCACATTCAATTTCAATTAAAGAACAGAGGAGCAAACACAATGGCATCTCAACCTCAGTTTGTTTATGTCCTGATTACATCACTAAGTCTCTATACAAATCACATTTATTATTGATTTCAGGTAGGTAAACATAAATTAACACTGGCTCATGGCAGCCTGATGATCACATCACAGTGAACACCCATAAATAGACGCACACACACACATATATGCACACCAGGTGCGTCGTGATCATAAGTGGTCTCGGTGGAGACGACGTAATGGCACAAAGTGTCAGGGGAGCAGGTGTTTATAGCTCTCAGAGACAACAAGAGAGCCTGAGATGTAGAATGACCCTCTCTGCTTTCCTTCTTCAGCCTTAATAATATGTCTCCTCAAAATCCTTGCTGTTTGTTTTATTTTTTGACTCTACTTCTTTCCTCTTCATTCTCCTATCTTACGTTGTGATTTCCATCCTCTGTCTGTGTCATTGTACTCCTTATTTCCATCTCTTAATCTCACAAATCCTGTTTGCTAACTGCTTATTCCGCAGTGTGTGATGGTTGTCTTTTACCAACAGCAATATCAGACATACACATGGATAATAAGGACGGTGTAATACTGTGTGTATAAATAGCCTGGAAAGCCATTTAATCATTTATTTTATTTACAACACACACAGTAGACGCAGTGTCCAGCTCAGATCTTCCCGACATACATTTTACAATCCTAGCTCGATTTGTTAAGATCACAAAGCCCCTGCGTCAGCCAGTGCTGTAGTCAAGTCACCAATTCACGAGTCCAAGTCACTCTCGAGTCCCCACTTTTCGAGTCCGAGTCCAAGTCGGAGTCACGCAAGGAGTGTCCGAGTCAGAGTTATCATTACCTGTGTTCGAGTCTGAGTCCAAGTCCGAGTCACCCAAGAAGAGTCCGAGTCAAGTCCGAGTCACAAGTCTTCATGTATTAATCTTAGTGGATATATTTGTTGAAATGTAGCTATAGCTCCTCTACATTGCTTTTATCCTGTCATGTTATACTAATCTGTCTATTGACGAATAAATTAACATATTGTCCTCTTGACTGCCTTTTTATTTATTTTTTATTTTACTATACTTACTTGTTTGGCTGTCCTTATTTGTCTACCCTCCCTCATACTGTAAAGCGTCTTTGAGTTGTGAAAAGCGCTATATAAATCAAATGCATATTATTATATACTAAATAGTTACATTGGGTTTTTAGCACCTGGCTGATAAGGGCACAAGCTCTTACGTTGGTAATGATTGTATAAAAGCAAGGGTGATCAATAAACAGATACCATCGGTTGGAAAGTCTGACCATCATTCAGCCAGGGACGCTAATTATTATAGTGAATGTTTAAATTCTATCAATAAAGATTAAGCCCCAGAAAGCACATGGCTACTTAGCATGCAAAATGACAACATTCTGCATGTTAAGTAGCCATGGGCTTTCGTGTTATCGGCTGAATCTTTATTTATTGATTAGATCACGTTACTCGGATGATAGTGTTCAAGACAGCCTATATGTCTGAACTCGATCCTGAGAGTATGTGTTACTCTTCAATCTTTGTTCCACATAACGAGCATTTTGCACTGCTCTTTCCCAATGTGGAAGCAGAATGTGTGAAAGTATACAGTGTGTCTCTTGACATCTCTAGACTGGAATAGCGGGCCCAGTACGTGAACTCGCCTCACAGGTGCACAGGCCAGGATAGAGGACATCAGACCTCCAGAGAAAACTTGCTCGAGTCCAAGTCTGAGCGTCAATGTACAAGTCGAGTCCGAGTCATCGTGGGGGAAAAATTCACGAGTCCGAGTCCAAGTCATCGTGCGCGAGAATTCACAAGTCCAAGTCGCGTCGATCAGTGCGCAAGTCCAAGTCGAGTCACGAGTCCCGAAAATCGGCACTCGAGTCAGAGTCCAGGACTCGAGTACTCCATCTCTGGCATCAGCTCTAAATCACAGGGGGGTTTCGCCAATAAACCGACAAACACCTTTCCAATGAGCATTACATCAAAATCTCAATGTATTTTTTTTTTGTATTCTAATGAATCCACATTGAGCACAATGCTTCCACACCAAAACATATGACAATCTTCAAGAATGATGGTGTCTTTTAGGGACAAATACAATCCTTCCAGCACAATCCAAGCGAACGCCCTTGAAACTTGATGTGTGCATGCACTGTAGAGTAACTGATGGTGAAGTAGTAGAGGTGAGAGAGGGAGGTGAGTAACTTCAGTTAATCCACACACTGCCTTTGGACAAAGTGGCCCGCAGCTCTGCGATCTTATCAGTCTTGAAGCTTCATCTTTCTAGGTCCAAAGAGCTTTCGAATATGTGGATCGGATAGTCCCTTTTTCAAAGAGCAGCACAGATACTGTATGAGAGAAGAAAGTCCAACACCTTGTGCTATCAAAAAGACTGTATGTTTTTTTAAGAGTGATACTGTTCCATTGAAATCCAAGTACTTTTGAGGAAAAAGTGAAGTAAAAATCCTCTTTTGTTTGTATTTATTGCATTGCGTCTTTGTTTTTTTCTTGCCGCTCGAGTAAGGCAGGTTAAAAATATCTGCATCGTGGCCATCTGTTCTCACCATTTCAATAAGTGCAGCACACTTAGTAATATCCATTTTTTAAATATCCTGTCGCTCAGCAGCTGAGGATCTTGATGAAAGCCCGTCTGAACTCGATGTTGAAGGTGGTGTAGATAATAGGGTTGAGGGCACTGTTGACGTAACCCAGCCAGGTGAAAGCGCTGTAAAGCCCAGGAGGCACGTAGCATGTCCCGCAGTGGGTGTTCACTATGTGAGTCACAAAGAAGGGCAGCCAGCAGATGAGAAACACCCCTGGAGAGGCATGGAGAAAGGACGAAACACAAAAAGCACAAACAAAGTTGTAAGAAAATGTGTCTACTACAACATGCTAAAGACGTTAGCATGCTCAGCTAACTAGCTTACTACCAACAGTCCCTTTCAAATCTCCAAGTGATATCATAAAGTATAATAATGCAAAGGTCCAGTGTGTTCAATTTAGTAGAAAACAGTGGCCTTAAGCCAAGGCAATAACGCTAAAGCCTTCTCTTTAGCCAGAGTTTGGTTTGTCCGTTCTAAGCTAATGTAAATAAATGGCTAACTCCGCGAAGAGGAATACAGATAGGCTATGAAGGGCTCTTTCTAAGCTGACAAAAACAACATTATTCTTAGTTTCAGGTGATAATACACAAATGAAAACATATTTGTTAATATCATATTCCATTTCTGCCAATAAATCCCCCTTAACCCCACACACTGGACTTTTAGGGAAGTTTGAACGTGAGGTACTCGTTAGCATGCTGGGCTGATTAGCCTATGACCAACAGTAGCCTACAAACCAAATGCACTTCTAAAGTAATCTAATGGTGTATAACAATTCATATAGATAATAGCTAACTATATGAATGATCATTTGGGGTTACAGTTGATTTTAGAAAACATTCAAACAGTCAAAGGTAGAAAAAAGCAAAATAATCAGGTTTTGTTAACCAACTCATAGCAGAATTTGAGATGAAATAACAATCAATTAACAGCCGCGGGCAGCAGCAGTTGGCCTGAATTTGTTTACTTTTATGCAAAATCAAAGACTGACTACTTCGAAAAGTAACTATACATGTTGAGTGTTTAATCAGCGTCTCATTCAAAACTGCCTGTGAGTTGTGTTAGAAAGCTCTACAGGCATAGCAATTAAAACACTTTAGTTTCCCTATTAATCCATACTTTAGGTCTTCATACCACTCTCACTTATTTTCCCAGGCAGCCATAGGATTTTTTAAAAATATAAACAACTATAAATGCTGCAGCATAGTAGAAAAACTCATTACATTCCAGCACTATAATTGAGGTCACAGCTTCATGGCATATCAGTGGCTGAAGAGCATGTGGGAGTGGGCGAGACTGAGATGACTTCTGTGTATGCGCCACAGTTTTCACCAACACCCGTGTAACGTAATGAGACACCTCTGATTACAATAATGTCAGAGAGATCCATACCGGGCCAGAGCTAAATTGTCCAGCCTTATAGAAAACTGGCTGATAATTGGAGCGTGTGGAAGCTGTGTCAGGAGCTGTGTGTGTTCGGACTCACACTGGGAACCCAAAGCCAACCAGACATTTCTGACAATTCAACTTGATTTATTGGGGCTCTGCAAAATATGCAGCAAATGCACACCGCGTGAGAAAATGTGCTGTGCCATCACCTCCGGGAAGTAGACGGTACAAGCAGAAAAAGACAATCAAATGTTTAAGTAGTTGTTAGCAGGGTCAGCAAGTCTACATTAAATTGCCTCTGCAGTTATATGCTTTATTATTGTTATACTAGACATTGATAGCCTGCTAATGCTCAGGCTTTAGCTGTGTATAAGTAGCCTGTTTGCACTCATGATGTTACTTTTTTGTGTGAACTGCACAATACTGTTTTAGGCTTAAGCACATTCAGAAATCGTGAAGCTGTGTAAGTCCATTTTATTACTTTTTATCATACTATAATAATAGAAATGTCAATTAGAAAAATAAAGGAAAATGTATATATTTAGATCAATTTGACCCGGACAAACATCACTAAGTGTCATGACCTTTACCCTTTCATCCCCACTTAAGACAATCTCCACTTACCCAGCACGATGGCCAGCATCTGAGTGGCCTTTTTCTCACGTGCGTGCATGCTCCTGAATCTTGAACTGTTGATTTGCGATTGAGCCGTCCACCGTACAGTCGTGTGCGTTCGTCCGTTTGACAGATCCTTCACCTTGCAGTTCCTCCTGACGGCAGGCTGGTTGTTCTCGTCGTCGTCGTCCTCCCCTCTCTCCGGCTCCATCTCGGTGCGACCGCAGGAGGCGTGACTGAGGCTGTTCTGCGTGTCCACCGGAGGCAGACCGGAGTCCACAGGGTTCGTCTTTGGACGCTTGCGCCACCAACACTCTGACAACAGGTTGGGCTTGGAGGGACTTGAAGGCTCTACGCCCTGCTGTGGGACACAATAACACATGACAAAGATAAGCTGTACAGTCAGAAAACATATTCTTGTAATCAAGTTTCATTTTTTTTATACTTTATTGTTACATTTAGTTTTGTAATTATCAACTGCACTGATAAATACATGCGTAACTTACTGACTTGTTTAAAGGTTTTACTGCCTTGACCGTATTGTTCTTGTATTTGTATGGTAATGTGTTTTGTAAGCGTACTGTTCAATGCTTGGATTTCGCTGTACTCTGTGTAGTGACAATAAAAGGAATCTAATCAATATATCCTCAGTGAATAGTCTCAAAATGGGATCACAACAAATCTGTGTCGATATCAGTCAAGTCTTTCTAGTACATCCAGAAAATTCTCCATAGATTATGTAATAACCCTTTTCATGTGTAAGACCCATTTGCACCAAGTATAGAGTATATATGCAAAGCACCAAATGGCAAACTAAGTTAGCAGCAATATTCTGGTATTTTCAGGTTAATATTTTGTATTTTTTTCCTCACTGACATGTTTACATGCTTTAATGTTCAAAAAGGTCTTTATTCTTCTCAAACTGCCTGTGTTTGCCAACTATTTAATGAGCCAATGTGAAAAACTATGTCAGTGTTCTCAGATCGCCCAAAAAAATACCTCTACTTGCTTACACTTTTCGGTCTGTTCAAAAACACTTTCATCTTATCCTGCTTCGACATCATAATACTAAGCTTAGTGTTCCTTCAGTGAGCCAAAAGGAAGCAAGAGTATGACTCAGAACGTTTGATGTCCAATACATCTTAGAAGTGTTGCGGTGTTCAGACAGATTCATAGCAATAGAGACTTCGTGAAACTCAATGCCTAGTTTTTAAGTGACAGATGCAGTTAGCGTGGAAACATCAGTGTGACGGTATCTGTAAATACAATATATCCTTCTTTTAGCCTTCTTCTAGCAATTTACTTTTAAAAACTCAGCAAATTCAGTAACAGCTCCAATGATCCCTTTTCCCCTTGGAGCTGATAATAAAAGTCAATCAGTAGTTAGAACGTATTATGTAATGTGAACTTTCAGTAAAGCCACAGTAACATTTTCAATCTTCTCTGACTTCACACATTACAGATTCCCTCTGCCTTTGAGCAGTCTGTTGATAATGCAGGTGCTGCACACACACACACACACACACACACCACCCACCCACCACACAACACACACACACACACACACACACACACCCACAACACACACACACACACACACACACACACACACACACACACACACACACACACACACACACACACACACACACACACACACACACACACACACACACACACACACACACACACACACACACACACACACACACAACACACACACACCACACACACACACACACACACACACACACACACACACACACACACACACACACACACACACACACACACACACACACACACACACACACACCACACACACACACACACACCTTCACTTCAGGGGACATTACATTGACTTATATGCATTTCCTGGAGACTTATCCTAACCTTAACCTAACCAAGTATTCACCCTAAAGTTAATGATACCCCTCATGGGGACCTCCATTTTGTCCCCATAAGGGAGGCGAGTCCCCACACGTGACTGTGTAAACAGATGTAGGTCCCCACAAGTATAGTAATGCTAGGCCAGCCACACACACACACATACCATGTATACATCACTTCAGGGGACATTACATTGACTTACATGCATTTCCTGGAGACTTATCTTAACCTTAACCATAACCAACACATGCCTAAACCTAACCAAGTCTTCACCCTAAAATTAATGATTCCCCTCATGGGGACCTCCATTTTGCGCCCATAAGGGAGGCGAGTCCCCACACGTGACTCTGTAAACAGATTTAGGTCCCCACAAGTATAGTAATGCTAGGCCACACACACACACACACACACACACACACACTTTGGATAAGTATTCACCTTATCCACATTCCAAATCGTTGCCTTCTTTAGAGTTATTAGTCATTCAAGATTAATTATTAAGTTAAATGGGGTACATAAGATACAATAAATAAATAACTTTGACTTGATAATTTTGTTCACAGCATTAGACCCGTCATCTAATCTCTACTAGAGTAAGATAAGTATGTATGTTTGTGTGTGTGTGTGTGACACACACACACACTTCTCCCAGCTTTCGACAAGGTGACGAAATGCAAAGGGCCGCGCTTCAGAATCACAATGTTCAGATACCTCTCAGAGCCCTGCAGCCTCGTAGCGGAGCAGAAAACTCAAGATTGCACGAACATACAAGCTGGCAGACGAAAGCTAAAAACAGAACCTCTGTGCATGCAACCAAGTCACAAAACGCCAACACAGTCAATATGAGAGTTAGTCAGGCTGTGCTGCATTCAGCAAAACCAGAGCAGTGAAATCAATTCAAGATTCTCACGGTCGCTTTGGATCTCGAGTTTAAAATAGCACCTACCACTTTGATCCTTATAGGGGACAGGTCCTGCTTTGCCTTGGGAGTCTCCTCTTGTAGACAGGTCTCCTAAAGGATGAGAAGGAGATATATTTATTTCTAAGGAAATGCTTAAACCCTCCTTATCTCATCCCAACACCCCTACCCAGCACTTCACAGGTATAGAAAGTCATTGATTATGCTTTTCCATAGAGGGGGTTACACCAACAAGGTTTATTTTATACAGAAGTCATGATGTAACTTTAAATCATGCTACAAGATACTTTAAAACGTTAACATTCAGAGAGAATCAATTACAACTTCTCATTAAATGTCTTTGAACTTAAAGGTGGGGTAGGTAAGTTTCAGAAACCGGCTCGAGTGCACTAACATTTGTAGTACACAGCCGAAAAGAATCCGCCCCTTCCTTCAGACTTCCTTACAGAGCACCTCCTCCAACACACATGAACGTGCACATGACGTCAGCAGACTGGTGAAAGTGGCCCCCGGTTGCTGGCGAGTCATTGAAGTACTGCTGCAATGCACGCCCAATGACGGCACGCCCAATGACGGCACGCCCAATGAGATACATTTGTGCGTGCACGAGATGGAAGGCTGACAGACAGGGCGGCGATCCAATCCATTTAACGGATTGGTTGTACTTTTTACAGTATCACGGCTTCCACAGATGATATTTTTTTTATGGATTTTTTGTCAAAGCACTTCAGATATTCATTGCTATCGGGATGTTAAGAGCAATACATGGAATATAACAAAAAGTGTATCTCGAGCCGGTTTCTCAAACTTACCTACCCCACCTTTAAACCTTTTACAAATGACTAGATTTTAGAGTTGGATTGAGCGAAAATCAAAGGAGGAATAATTAAAGGGCCCTATTGTGCTGATATAGTTTCATATTTGTATCTTCTGCTTTGACAGTGTGTGGGAGAGAAACTCCCTCTGAGGGAACACAGAGATTTTAGCCTCTGCAGACCATTTACATGCACTAAAAACTATATAAAGGAAAGGGAAAAGCCCAAAGATAGTATAAGCATAATAAGCCTCTTTATGGCCATATTGAATAACATTGAGTTAACTTATTTATCAGTAAGCGACCCTTTCCGTATTAATTAAACTCCATAGACTTGGATGGATTAACTAAACAGAAAATAGTTTTTAATCGTACAGCAGCGCTTACTTTTATGTGCTGATCAATTCATTTCCCTCCCTCTAATTAAAACAGATTTAGATTGACATGAAACCCAGCCTACGTATGTCAGAGGCTGGCGACAAATCTTGTGGCGACTCCGTGTCACACGACATGAATTAAAATGCACGTCTTATACGTTTTCAATCCCTTTCACTTCTGAGCGGGACGCAGCACGACTCCATTAGAGCTCCCTGCAGAAATAAAGATAAGTCTCTTTTGAAATCAGCCTCCTTCTACATATCAATATCCTTCAGCTGACTGAGGCACAGTCCTGTTATATTACAAAACACATTCCCATTGTAACCCCCTCAGCCTGATCTCCTCCGGGGCTTAGATCTCACAATGAGTGTCTGCAGTCATGGATGAGATCCCAAACTGGGGCTCAACGACAACCGATCATCTGTTAAATAGGAGGCTTCACTGGGAGTTAGTGTGCAATGGAGTGGACACATCTTGTGGGATCACATTGCACAGGAAGCTTCCATTGCTGGTGCTGTCATCCAATTGAATAATAGTGGCTTTTTACACATCATCTTGAAGAAAAAAAGGGTATACAGATGCACAGAACAGGAACTGGTACCCTTGGCCTTTTAATAGATAAAGCCATCATTTTCATTATCTTTCAAACATAACAGCCTTGGGGGTGAATAATACAGCAACGTACAAGAAGGTTAAAGCCATCATGAATGATAGATGTAACTGGGACAAACACAAGAGTGATGGACGTGATCAAAGACATGACAGGTGGATGAGAAGGAAGAGAGGTACACGCCATGTGAAGAAGCACTTTAATGAGAAGACATGATGCTTTGTGTGGACTGGAACACTAAGAAGAGAAGCAGAGATATCCTTTTCCTTTATATGTAATTCACTATCTATCCATCACTATGCAGTGGCGAACCGTCAGGACCTTCAAGGTATTCAGAGAATACCCGGGAACACTCGGATAAAACAATTAAAAAATAGATTTAATTATATAAATAAAATGTATATAAAATGAATAAATGAGAATCGTATCTGTGTTGTTGATCTGTAATATTACAGTGTTACGTTGATTTGTTTGTCCTTCTCGGACCATGCACTAGGCATTTCAGTGGTTTTGTGTTAGCAAAAAGAAACCAATCAGATCTTGTTCTGGGTCTCTGGGTAGAATATCCTTCAACCAAGGTATTCTACATCCTTGATAGAATGCCCTGGCCGTTGCACTGAATGAGAGCGTACGTTTGGATTGACAGTTTGATTAACCAATCAAACATCAACCAATCATGAAACATTTTCATGATCGCTTTTTTCGTTTTACATTTTCATTTATTGTCATTTCCATTCAGTCAGTCATTGAGTGCTATTAAAATGTTAATGTGCTACATATCCACACAAACAAACAAAGTGTGCAATCCAATGAATGTTAATCTAACTGGGTTTTGATAGATAACAAATCTCTTTTTCTTCTCTCAATTATTTTATTTCTTTTGTCCACTCTAATCGATATTAATCTACCTATTGTTCGTTTATACATTTTAAGAATGGCGTTTATCTTTTTTGAGAATGAGTTCTTATTTGATTTTATTTATTGGGGTCTACAACAGATGATACAAATGTTTGTGTCAGTAAATGTGTACTAACAGAGGCGGGGGTGTGTGGAAATAACGGGGACAGAGCTGCTGTCAGACGATCAGCTGTGCAGCGTCATCACAAACGGACGTCGCTTCACGTGAAGCAAGGATTTCATTTAACCGACCTGAGACGGGGCCCCGGTAGTTCACTGGAGAGAGACAGAGGATCTAGATGAATGTGACGAAGCAATTAATGCCGCTTTATTGTCTTTAACGTTGAAATGACAAGTGCAACAGGTGAATATGAAGTTGTTGCGGAATTGTTATTGGGGGGGGAGCGGCGGCGGCGGCGGGGGGGTGTGTCTCTAGTCTACAGAAGGTCCAGTTGTGATTGACACGGTTCGTCACTGGTCTGCCATAATATAAGTAAATTGTGATTTGCATGTCATTATGAGAATGAATAACGTGAATGAGTGCGAGTTAGGGAGAGGTGCATGGGAAATATAAAGCAGCACTCAAGAGAAAACCAGAGATTTATTTTTCAATAATCAGATAAAGGGTTTAATTTTAGAGGATAGAACTCAGCTCTATATAATAAATCAGGGACCACTTCCTAATAAGACACCCTTTACACAGCCTTGCTGACAATGATTGCTAATGCACAAAGCTGCATGTTTCTGCATCGTATTTTTGAATCTCAACAGCGCAAATTACACATTTCTGTACGAGGGAGATTGATTGCTAGAGTTGGCCAGGATTCATTTGTATTCCCTTATTGTTTGCGCATTTATTGGTACGCAACAAAAGAAAATGTAGTACTATCTAGCAGCGGTTCATAAAACACAAATCTTTGTTAACGTTTGTCCTTGGCCTCTTCTGTCTCTTCGTCTGTCGTGGCTCCCTTCTCTTCCCCCACGCCTCACTTTGCTGTCGTTTCATGTCATGGAGTCATAAATAAACCGCAGTACCATATCTCAGCAGAGGTAATGAAACACTAAGATAACGTCCTCACCACAGACGGTGCAGTGGAGCCCGGCTGCACTTTACGGCTGGTCTGACGGAAGATGATTCTCTTCCTCCTCATCCGGAGGAAGACGTAGATGCGGATGTAGACGAGCAGAGTGACGATGAACGGCAGGTAGAAGGACACCACCGAGGAGTAGATCACAAAGTCAGGGTTGGAGATGGAGCACACCAGCGGGTCATCTGAGTCAAAAACAAAGGATTAAAGGTCACCTATTATGCAAAACCCACTTTTCCATGTCTTTTCTACATCAACATGTGTCCCCTCTTCTTCATGTCTCTTCTACATCAACATGTGTCCCCTCTTCTTCATGTCTCTTCTACATCAACATGTGTCCCCTCTTCTTCATGTCTCTTCTTCATCAACATGTGTCCCCTCTGTGGAAAGAGACTCTGAAAGTCTCAGGAACAAAGATTCTCTCTCTTTTTGATCAATTTCAATAAAACCTGTCTGAAAATGAGCTGATCAGATTTTGGCCACTTTATGATGTCATAACGATGTGTTGTCTTGTGTAACCATTAGCCAATCACCAACCAAGGTAACCCCCCCCCCCTTATCACCTGAATCTCCTCCTAGAGCACCATTGAGTTCTTTGTAACCAAATGTCTCTCAGAGGGGCGTGGGGAGGGGCTCCTTATTTTCATCTGAAGTAACAGACAGAGAATCAGCACTTTGGAAACAGGGCTGAAACAGAGGGGATTATGGGTAATGCTGCAATGATCTGTTTGGTGTTTCAGCCAATCAGAGACAGGTTCTGTATATATCTGAGACCTGTAATATATTGATGAAAAACAGTATAATAGGAGACCTTTAATAAAACACCCTATAAACCTCAGGATAGTAAAAGAGACAGAAGGCGTAATTTATAGATAACCTCTGACCCTGTTCATCTTGAGAATGACCTGTCACTTCTAGAGATTACAAAATATGGAGTTTAGGGCCTTTTTCATTATTGCGGAGAACAGCACTTTTATGAATACACTCACAAAGGGCCACACTTAAGTATTGTAATAATTAAAGGGCCCTATTATGATTTTTCCCCCTTTCCTGTAGTGTCTTTTATATGTTTGTGTGCATGTAAATGGTCTGCAAAGGCTAAAATCCCTCTCTCATCTGTTATTATTGTATTTCCCTTGGTTATAAATCACAATCTTGCCCCGTAAGAAATGACCTTGATGACTTGTCCTCTCGTATCCTGCATAGTATCACACAGCAGTGAGGTGGGGGTGTGATTGATTTGATGATTATCTACCATTTATTCAGATTAAGAGCCCATTTGATTTGACATCATAATAATAAGCTGGAGCCATATTTCAATCAAAAGCCCGAGCTAAATATCTATCAGTGAGTTTATAGTGCTGCAAATTGAAATTGGAAGAAAAAAAAGGGCCGGCTCTGTGCAGGTCAGAGGCATGAACAAACTGAAGTGATTGGCCTCTCCACGGATGTTCCTGTGGATCAATAAAACCTCAATACAAAGAAAGATGGGAACCAGCATGGACACACACGATCTATTTCCAGTCACGATCCAACCCACGTTCAGTTTCTAGATTATTTTGTACTGTAATTGCATATTTTAGCTGCCGTTTTTCAATCCATTTCTTATGAGGGTTAATGAAGGACCCACTGTTCGCTCTTTCTAGTGCTGATTCGGGTTGGTTGCATGCTGACAAAAAACAACTCTGCAATCACCAGCCATTGTCTAGCATTGATTGTGAGCAACCAAATGCCTGCATCCCAGAGAGCAGCTTTACATTGTGTCCTCATTGTGTATGTGCAGTCATGCAATGGTGCTGCTGGCAATGTGAATTAAATTAGCTGCTTTTCTCTGTCTTGTTTCATTCTTCCTCACACAAACACAGAAGACCTTATTCCATCTGCATCTGTATTGTTCACAAACACGTGTGACACCAACAAACCTTCCTCAGAATCCTCCAAGAGAAAACTAGAAGAAGATGTCACCTGCACTTTCTATTATATTCTATTTACCATTTCATCTGTTGTATTGTGTTGCACTGTTGGAGGAGCCTGTGACCTAAGATGTTCATTGTCATAACTACACTGTAGCTATGACAATGTAAATACAAGCCTTGAATCCTTGAACATGAAACCTCATTTTGAAAGTAAACAAAAAAGGAGACATGTTTCACCTGACTGCAGGAAAACACAATGATTTCTACTCCCTCCACAGATACATCTCTCAAAACAAACAACTAAAAGTGAGACAGTCACATTTGGAAAAAAAAAAAACCTAGAAGCATTTCTCTTGCAGTGCACTTAATTTCACGGATATATTAAGTTATGTAAAGCTCTCAGGGTGCTGTGCATCATTATCAAGGGCACTTAGTACTGCCGTTTAATAAGGTTTAGGCACAGAGACAGATTTTTAAAAAATGGTCTAGACTGAGTTATTGTGACATTTCAAATATTGTTCTGCTCATTTCCAGGTGTATATCAGTATGTAATGTCTCTACTGAGACATGTCTCCAGGCTTTAATGTTAAAAAAACTCTATTTCTCTCATACTGCCTGTGCTGCGGCACCTCTTTTTTTTTTTTTTCAGATGTTGGCCTTTGAAGACCGTTTACATTCACAAAAACCTATAGAGAGGCGAAGTCCCGCCCATCTACTTCCAACCCATGGGACCTTATTTCGGAAAAATTATGTATTGAAGTCAATGGAGAGAGAAAGATTATCTTTCGATCCCGTTTGAATTGTGCCACGAATTACACATATGATGTTTGTCAATTTAAAAAATAATTTCCGTGTCAAAAAAGTCACAGTTTGTCATAAAACTGTTGAAATATAAGACTATGAAAAATATGCAACTAGAAAGACTACAAATCCCAGAGTCCCGGTCCCGCATGCTGGCTCTCACGGAACCGACTAACTCCCCTTGTGTGTATGCACAGCTCTCAACGCGCCCAGACTTGGAGTGATTTTCACCTCTTTTAATACTTTCCGCCTCATTCTGAAAGAAAGGAGTGAAATGTTCCAACGTGACGGCCGTCTTGGTGTGTGGTGCGAGACGGGAGATGTAGTTCATTGAGCGGTTTCACACAAACAAAAGTGTTACTTCACAGTTTTACGACACATTTTTCTTTTTTCGACTTGCAAAATTATCTTTCTCTCGCCATTGACTTCAATATTACTTTTTTCAAAATAAGGTCCCATGGAGGAAAGGGAGGGACTTCGCCTCTCTATAGAAACACTGGAGGGAAGAGAAAAGCACAATAGGGCCCCTTTAATTAAATGCCCCTCACCTTGTAGTGAATGCATTTAAAGCTTAATGTTGTACAAATACACATTTTTAACACAAGTATTCTGAATTTGTGTGACTTTGAAAGACAACTCCAAGGCGACAGCTTCTGCTGCTCCTCATGTCTAACCTGACACCAGATGGTTTGTTTGCACTCGACCATCTGAGGGGACATCATTGGAAATGATTTGGAACTTGGCAGGTGTTAACCACGCCCACAGCTGCCAGGATGTTGACTGCATGTCTTAAAAGTATTACTTGGAGCCTGACAAGATGGATGTGTACTCCCATATGACCTTGTGATAAGGACATGTCTCTCAAACTCAACAGCTTGTAATACAAACAAGCTCTCGGGTAAATGGCCAGTCTCGTCATGAGTTGTTTTTTTTGTCAGGGGTGTCTAAACTACGGCCCGTGGGCCAAATGCGGCCCATTTTGAATTGGCCCTCAGCTAATTAAAAAATATAATGGAATATGGCCCACAAATAAAACGTGTTCTTGTCTTATATTGTACTTCTTCAATATGTATGTGAACACATATTACACAGTAGTATTCATGTGTTAACGATCCCACTTTTCAAATAAATTCAGTCAATTAAAGTCAACAAATCTTAAAAAAAGCCCAATAACTTAATTACATAACACGCTTGAAATAGACCCTTCATATTTCCTCTTATTATAAGCTATCTGAGGCTTTTGTTTTAAGGAATGAGCTGCCAACAAAATGAATGAAACCCTATGGAGAGCTGAGATGTAGGCTGTTTTTTTCTTAAAGCATGTTCAAGTATCCAACCCTACATTTGATTGATTTAGCTAACTTATAACTTAACTGATAAGGCAATATACCTCTAGTTAGTGGCCCAGCCCTTCGTATATTCTTCTGTATGTGGCCCTCAATGAAAACAGTTTGGACACCCCTGGGCTAGACGTTAAACAACATTTTCTCAGGCTGAGTAGTACAGACCATGACACTCTGACATGCTAAATTAGTAGAATGCACCTTTAAATCCCACATTAGATTGCATGTCATGTCCCACAGCTGACCCTAAAAAGGCAAATACTCCTGACCCTGAGTTTCCCAGTCACACGTTGCCTTTCGTGACTTGAATCATCATTAGTCATTATGTTGACCTGACCTGTGGTGTTGAAACCAAACAGCAGCGGGCAGGAGACGGTGAAGGCCAGGACCCACACGGTGCCAATCATCACAGACACTCTCTTCTTGGAGCGATACGTGATGTTGTACAGGACGGGCATCACCACGGCTGTGTACCTGCAGGAAAACACACATATTTACTGTTACGAACTCAGGCACTTAGGGGGGTAGGACCCAATTGCACGACCTGGGAGACAGAGGTAAAGTATTGTAAGATACTTTATTTTCCATGAATAGCAAAAATGAACAAAAAGGTAACCACCAAAACTCTAGTCGAGATGACAAAAAACAGAGAACAAAAAATGAAAGCGTTCACGCAGTGAGGAATCAAAAACCTTTCAAGAGTACCAGGAGCATAGACCTTACCATGACAATAGACAAGACGAACTGACACTGAACACTGGGAGACAGGGGAATTTAAACACAGGGTAACAAGACACAGGTGGGAACAATCAGGAAATTAGACACACCAGGGAAACTAACGACAGACATGAAAACACAGGGAAAAAAGACCAGACAAACAGGGAGGAAACATGACAAGGAGAACGGAAAAACACCCACACATAGAAACGTGACATGACATAATAATCCTGACATTTACAGTCTGTCTCGCTGTGAGAACGAGAGAACATGGTGACATCTGAATGGAGACAGAAGTGCTGATAAAGAACAGGAAAAGGGAACAATTGCAGTGAGAAATTGAGTGCTTCCAGAAAAGCACTGCTGAGAGAAATTGGATAATATAAGGAGGAACAATGGAGCACCAAAGCAGGCACTTCTATTTAGAAACAATTTGGGTATTCAGCAATAAAAGTGAAGCTGTGATTTAAGAGTTAATCAGCACACAGAACCCAAGAGTGTGTAATGAGCCCGGGGGAAATGGGCTCAGAAGGAGCAGCAATTACGCTGGACCCCGACCCAAAATGGATGTGATGTTGTGTTGCTTTGAGCCAACTGTCATCCTTGTTTGTCCTCATCAGACTAATTGCACTGGCTCCCTTTCTGGGTATAAATGCAGGGCTGAGCTGGGAGCGCAGGTATTCTCTGAATCACTGTGACCTCCTGAGGTTAAAGCGAGGAAAAAGTGAAGAAGACGAGAAATAATGTAGGCTATGATGCATTGATCCAGTGCTGCTTTGAGTTACAGGATGAAAGAAGACTCTTCTGAGTGGAGACTGCAGTAAAAACCTGACCCACGCTGTAAGAACAGACTCCTCACCTTCAAGTTTTAATGTAAGAACTTTATTTCAGTGTTTCCGCCGCCGATTCGCCCGGTTTGACTCTTTCCTTTTGAACAGGCGATAAATCCTCCCTGTTACGACTGCTGTGAGACTTTATAAATAAACAATGCTCTCACAAAGGTAATTGCATGCGTGTTGAACACTATCAATGACACAGAAAGAATGCCCCCGGAGATTCACTGAAATGTGGCACTTCATCAAGCGTGTGATACTGTAAAGGGGATGTTGCGGCGACGTCTAATAATTCATTCAGAGAGGAACACGGGGCTTCAGGCAATAACTCCATCCCTCGGAAGCAGGTTATAATGATCAAATGTGTAAACAGACATATTGTACCTGTTGCAGGCATGTACAAATGTTCAATTAAAAATACAGAATGGCCTAAAGCAGGGGTGGGCCCTCGAGGTAATTTATAAACACACGCAAAAAATAAAAAAATCTAAGAAATCTATACCGCAAAAGAATTAAACAAGCGAGTGTCTGTTTTTCCTGGCCAAGGTCAGGGTCCTTGAACACAACACGAGCCTAACGTGTCATCATGTGGTATATGTCTCGTCTGACAGGGTGTAGTTCTGCCGGAGAGCACCAGAACGCGGCTCCGGCACTTCAAAAATTGCAGTACCCATAAGGAGCCGTACACATGCTGCATTTTTTGCGTGTCTGTGTCTTTAGTTGTAAGCCCAGTGGCGATCTGTCATACTGATCATACAGTTAATAACTGTGTTGTTATTAGCATCTGGTTAGCTAGCTATGCTAACGAATATAAGAAGCTTTTTCTCCAACCAGTGAAGTAAAGGCACATCTTTATATGATCATTATAGTTATAAAAAAATAAGAGAATAAAGTAAACTACTATATAAAATGCTATATGACAGTAAAATTAAAAAAATAATACAGTTTGAAAGGAGAGTGATTTGTAAAATATCCATAAAGAAAAAGAAATCTGCTTGCAGTTCTGTTTCATCTGGCCTGTTGAGAGATGTATCCATAGATCTCTTAATGTTGCTCTCAAAGTGCACCAGATTGATGCTTTTAACTTCAACATTTAAAAAAAAAAACCTTCCGTACCCCCCTAGAGGAGGTTAGGTCCCCCACCACTTAAATCATTTCCACATGGATATGAAACTAAATACATTTGCACACATCTTGTGTCCATATCTTTCTGTTTTGGTGGTCATGCCTACGCGAGTCATGGTAAGATATCTGGATTAAGAGGTTGCTTTTTCTTTGCACAGCATGAAAGAAAGGTGAAATTAATGGGCTGTGATTTTAGTTTTTTAAGCAGAGGTCAATAATTTGTACGGCCCTCGGAGGATGTTGATAAAATTGAAATGGCCCTTGAGAGGAAAACGGTTCCCCACCCCTGGCCTAAAGCAAAGCAAACTTTTGGTAACTTTGTACCTTACGTCAAAGCACCCATGAGAAAGCCTTACTGTACACATTCATCCCCCATGACACATCCATGTAGGATTGTATGTTGTTGAACTCTTGCCTGCAGGTTATAAGTTCGAGACCGTAGAGAATAATTCAATATTAACCGTGACACAAGAAGAAAACCAAGCAAATAAATTATTTAAATACAGGACGCTTATAGTAAAGTTCGGCTAATGCACGACACGGTTCCCTGCTGCACTTATGCAAACAAATCCGCAGAAATAAGACGCATGAAAAGCCTGAGTCTGAACCTAAAACTTGAGATAAAAACCCACAGAAAATCCTCAGTGCTCCTCACTGAGTCTCAGTCTGTCACACACTGATGCAGAAAGACACACACAACTATCAAGAGGATTTGAACAAGATGGGAAAAGAGCGTCTTCCACCAGGAGAGCGTTGAAATATCTATGAAGTGAAGAAAAGAGCAAGAGGGGGAAATATGGAAATCTCACAGGATGACATTTATACTGGAGATGTCACGGCAGATATCAGTCACACTTTACACACACATTAAACACACATTACACACACATTACACACTCACCTGTCAATGCTGATAGCACACAGGTTGAGGATACTGGCGGTGCACATCATCACATCCAGCGTGACAAAGACGTTACAGTAGAGCCGGCTGAAGAGCCAGGCCCCGCCGACCACCTGCAGGACAGACAGGAAGATTATCAACGCACATGTTTCTCTTGGACTTATTCACACCTACTGAGCGCACAGAAAAACACACCTGCACATGTGACAGAAAGGCAAGGAAGAAGGAAAACAGTTGGGCTATGGAGGGAAAAAGATGCCAGAAATACATTCACCCTGATATATTACATTAAAAGAGGACATATTCTGCTGATGTTCAGGTGTATATCAGTATGTAGTGTCTCTACTTTAAAGAGTCCTCTCCTGCTGATGTTCAGGTGTATATCAGTATGTAGTGTCTCTACTTTAAAGAGTCCTCTCCTGCTGATGTTCAGGTGTATATCAGTATGTAGTGTCTCTACTTTAAAAGAGTCCTCTCCTGCTGATGTTCAGGTGTATATCAGTATGTAGTGTCTCTACTTTAAAGAGTCCTCTCCTGCTGATGTTCAGGTGTATATCAGTATGTAGTGTCTCTACTTTAAAGAGTCCTCTCCTGCTGATGTTCAGGTGTATATCAGTATGTAGTGTCTCTACTTTAAAGAGTCCTCTCCTGCTGATGTTCAGGTGTATATCAGTATGTAGTGTCTCTACTTTAAAGAGTCCTCTCCTGCTGATGTTCAGGTGTATATCAGTATGTAGTGTCTCTACTTTAAAGAGTCCTCTCCTGCTGATGTTCAGGTGTATATCAGTATGTAGTGTCTCTACTTTAAAGAGTCCTCTCCTGCTGATGTTCAGGTGTATATCAGTATGTAGTGTCTCTACTTTAAAGAGTCCTCTCCTGCTGATGTTCAGGTGTATATCAGTATGTAGTGTCTCTACTTTAAAGAGTCCTCTCCAGCTGATGTTCAGGTGTATATCAGTATGTAGTGTCTCTACTTTAAAGAGTCCTCTCCTGCTGATGTTCAGGTGTATATCAGTATGTAGTGTCTCTACTTTAAAGAGTCCTCTCCTGCTGATGTTCAGGTGTATATCAGTATGTAGTGTCTCTACTTTAAAGAGTCCTCTCCTGCTGATGTTCAGGTGTATATCAGTATGTAGTGTCTCTACTTTAAAGAGTCCTCTCCTGCTGATGTTCAGGTGTATATTAGTATGTAGTGTCTCTACTTTAAAGAGTCCTCTCCTGCTGATGTTCAGGTGTATATCAGTATGTAGTGTCTCTACTTTAAAGAGTCCTCTCCTGCTGATGTTCAGGTGTATATCAGTATGTAGTGTCTCTACTTTAAAGAGTCCTCTCCTGCTGATGTTCAGGTGTATATCAGTATGTAGTGTCTCTACTTTAAAGAGTCCTCTCCTGCTGATGTTCAGGTGTATATCAGTATGTAGTGTCTCTACTTTAAAGAGTCCTCTCCTGCTGATGTTCAAGGCAAGGCAAGTTTATTTAAGCACCTTTCAACACAAGGCAATTCAAGGTGCTTTACAAAAATGAAAGACATTCAGACAAAGGCATTTAAAAACAGTCATTAAAAAGAAAAGATAATAAAAGCAACATTAAAAGAAAAAGTACATGAATAAAAATGTACAGTGCAGTTTAAGATATAAATAGTTCACACAGAAGTTCCACTTTACTGATGAACACAACGGCTCAGTTTCAATTAAAAGCAGCGACAAAAAGAAAAGTCTTTAGCCTGGATTTAAAAGTAGTCAGAGTTGCAGCGGACCTGCAGGTTTCTGGGAGTTCCAGATATTTGGAGCATAATAACTGAACGCTGCTTCTCCATGTTTAGTTCTGACTCTGGGGACAGAAAGCTGACCAGTCCCTGAAGACCTGAGAGATCTGGATGGTTCATCATTTAGCAGGAGGTCAGAAATGTATTTTGGGCCTAAACCATTCAGTGCTTTATAAACCAGCAGCAGTATTTTGAAATCTATTCTTTGACACACAGGAAGCCAGTGTAAAGACTTCAGAACTAGAGTGATGTGATCCACTTTCTTAGTGTTAGTGAGGACTCGAGCAGCGGCGTTCTGAATCAGCTGCAGCTTCCTAATAGATTTTTTAGTGAGACCTGTGAAGACACCATTGCAGTAGTCCAGTCTACTGAAGATAAAAGCATGGACACGTTTTTCCAGATCCTGCTGTGACATTAGTCTTTTAATCCTAGATATGTTCTTTAGGTGATAGTAGGCTGATTTAGTAACTGTTTTAATGTGACTGTTGAAGCTCAGGTCAGAGTCCATGACTACACCTAGATTTCTGGCTTTATCTGTTGTTTTGAACATTGCACACTGAAGCTCAGCGCTAACTTTTATACGTTCTGCCTTGGCTCCAAAAACCATTACCTCAGTTTTGTCTTTGTTTAATTGGAGAAAGTTCTGACACATCCAGTCATTGATGTGTTCAATGCACTTACTCAGTGTTTGAATTGGAGCATAGTCTCCTGGTGAAATGGTTATGTAAATGTGTGTGTCATCTGCATAGCTATGGTAACTTATGTTGTTGTCAGGTGTATATCAGTATGTAGTGTCTCTACTTTAAAGAGTCCTCTCCTGCTGATGTTCAGGTGTATATCAGTATGTAGTGTCTCTACTTTAAAGAGTCCTCTCCTGCTGATGTCCAGGTGTATATCAGTATGTAGTGTCTCTACTTTAAAGAGTTCTCTCCTGCTGATGTTCAGGTGTATATCAGTATGTAGTGTCTCTACTTTAAAGAGTCCTCTCCTGCTGATGTTCAGGTGTATATCAGTGTCTCTACTTTAAAGAGTCCTCTCCTGCTGATGTTCAGGTGTATATCAGTATGTAGTGTCTCTACTTTAAAGAGTCCTCTCCTGCTGATGTTCAGGTGTATATCAGTATGTAGTGTCTCTACTTTAAAGAGTCCTCTCCTGCTGATTTTCAGGTGTATATCAGTGTGTAGTGTCTCTACTTTAAAGAGTCCTCTCCTGCTGATGTTCAGGTGTATATCAGTGTCTCTACTTTAAAGAGTCCTCTCCTGCTGATGTTCAGGTGTATATCAGTATGTAGTGTCTCTACTTTAAAGAGTCCTCTCCTGCTGATGTTCAGGTGTATATCAGTATGTAGTGTCTCTACTTTAAAGAGTCCTCTCCTGCTGATGTTCAGGTGTATATCAGTGTCTCTACTTTAAAGAGTCCTCTCCTGCTGATTTTCAGGTGTATATCAGTATGTAGTGTCTCTACTTTAAAGAGTCCTCTCCTGCTGATGTTCAGGTGTATATCAGTGTGTAGTGTCTCTACTTTAAAGAGTCCTCTCCTGCTGATGTTCAGGTGTATATCAGTGTCTCTACTTTAAAGAGTCCTCTCCTGCTGATTTTCAGGTGTATATCAGTATGTAGTGTCTCTACTTTAAAGAGTCCTCTCCTGCTGATGTCCAGGTGTATATCAGTATGTAGTGTCTCTACTTTAAAGAGTCCTCTCCTGCTGATGTTCAGGTGTATATCAGTATGTAGTGTCTCTACTTTAAAGAGTCCTTCTCTGCTGGTGTTCAGGTGTATATCAGTGTCTCTACTTTAAAGAGTCCTCTCCTGCTGATGTTCAGGTGTATATCAGTATGTAGTGTCTCTACTTTAAAGAGTCCTCTCCTGCTGATGTTCAGGTGTATATCAGTATGTAGTGTCTCTACATGTCTCCATGCTTTAATGTTAAAAAAGCTCTTTATTGTTCTCATACTGCCTGTGCTGCAGCACCTCTTTTCACCCTCTGTCTGAAACCAGAGCCCAGTCTGCTCTGATTGGTTAGCTGGCCGGCTCTGTTGCGTTTGGGCAACCGCTTACATATGTCCCGCCCCTTAGACTATCACGTACGATGTGGAGCGCTAGCCAATAGAAACGTCAAGACATCAAGTGTGATGTAGTGATGTCCCCTTGTTGTGGAAGTAAACAAAGCAGGCGTTTCAGGCCCATCATTGTTCCCTGATTTTAGCCTTTGCAGACCATTTACATGCACATCCATTATAACACACTACAGGAGAGGGAAACCCACAAAGCATGAGAGGACTCCTCTAAAGAAGAATGCTAATAGGGATTTTAATAAAGCTAATTTGTCTTTTTAATATCTTTACCCGTTGTTCTTCTTGTCACACGAGCTGCAAGTGTGTGGATGTTGTGTGATGGATAACCCACAAATGTTGTTAAACCTAATTACCGTGAAAACATTTTCAATTTCCAGAAGACACTGACCCCCCCCCCCCCCCCCTCCACAGTAAAGCGATAACACCTCTAACCCAGTGCAGTCCTGCTCAGGCCGACAGGCTTTCACTCAGGCTCCATAATGCCTGCTAATAACTGTCTGGCAAAGATAAATTGGATTCTCCTCAGCCCAAGAAGGGAATTAACGCCAACCTCCAGGCAGGCGGCAGGCACACAAGGGAATTGGGAGAGAAACACATATTTAGACTTCCTACTGTGGAAACATTCACTGTCAACTCTCCGAAGCCTAAGCATTTTGTATTATATTTGTTTAAAACATCGCAAAAAACAATGAATAAATCACAAGCTTTGACGGACAAAAGAAAACAATCTATGGCTGTAAAAGTAATGGGAACAAAATGGGAACATTGTCCTGTCTTTTCAAATGTTTCACAAAAAACAATCTCAATTATAGTAATCCACATTACTTTCATTGAAGCCTCTGAAAAGCATACAGACGAAGGATTGGTTTATGAAAGTGCTTGCTATTGATCCATGCTGCATGTCACAAAGGAAAGAATGGAGCGTCAAAAAGTGTGAGACATCCTAAAGCCGTAATCTATGGAAAGAAATCAAATAGACTGTACACAATGAGTTTGTTGTCTCACTATATGGAAAATATTCTCTATTTGGAAATCCAATACATCTCCTCGTAAGAGCATTTGGTCCTCAAGTATAGAGCACAAACACATTTACACTCTATACTTGTTTTAACACGTTCACCCCCTCACACTAAAAGGCATGTGGGCACATATTGAACATTGTGTGCCATGTGGGAATATGAGGGTGACTCAGTGAGGCTCTGCAGACACTTCAGTTTGAACATATGTGATCTATACTTTGGCAGCACTTAAGAGCGATGCATTTCTCGGTAAGCGGGAGCTTGTTAAGAGACTGCAGCTGGAGAGGATCTGTCAGAGTGCTCACGCTGTTTTACATACAATTAAACTTGTATATCAAATCAGGGTTGGGAGGTACTTTAAACTGATTCTGTTTTCTAGTTAGATGTAAAAGAATCGTAGCATCACAATATAAAAGTAACCTGATTACTTTCTGTTACTTTTGGATAATATCAAATGCAATGTGTCCTCTGCTCAGAGATGTTGTGTATAGGAAAACCTGCCTTTCTTTATTCCTTGTTACATGTAATCTGTTACTCCCTAAACCTGCATATACTTTTTCTGATATAATCGTGAAGGAGATGCAACTTTTTGAGCTATCTTTCTTCACTAAAGTTGGACCTTTTCACTGTCAGATGCCCCTGTATTGAATATATAACAAAAACAAGGATAAATCTTGACCTGAAATAATCTCCAGACAACAAATGGAGATGCTGCTGTAGTCAGGAAACACATTTGCTCCTCAGGATGTATTGTTCAAAGTGAGCACTTATTAGTCATTACTGTCAATGCAACCACGTCCTTCAAGTACAAGTCATACATCAACAGAACCATCCAGGGGTAAGGTATAGCTTGCTCAAGGGCACATGATTAGTGCCTGCTGCAGGATTGGACAGGAGATACTCGGTCACTTTTACTGCACCTGCAGAAGCCAACCAGCAACCCTGTGGTCACAACAAGCTAATCCCCATCCATCAGATTACAGCCTGCGGGCGATGGTGCGTTCACTGCCAGTCTTGGGATTTGAAAGTCTTTGCCTTGGTCTCAAATGCTTTTCCCACAGCTGTTTCCCAGATATTACTGACCTTTACATTCCTGCTAAATTATGAAATAGTGTACCCTTGTGTCATCTTCTCATGACTAATTCCTTATGGGATTTTAAACCCTTTGAATCTGAAAAAAAAACGCGGTAGCTGCATGACTGCCTGCAGAGACTCATGACTGATTCTTGGCGAGGTTCCCGGCTACCTTAATTCACCTTCCATAGGATATAATCATGTTTAATTTGTCAGATTCTGCCCACTGAGAATGTTAATTATGTTTTTGTAATGGTTGACCTGCTGCTGAATTTTCTGCTCACTGTAAGAAATAGAGCTTTTTGCTGACAGTGAGCAAACGTTGGGCTGCAGGGCGGCTGCTTGTTAAACATTACTTGACTTCAACCAGATGATTTTCAGACGTCATGTGGGCAAACACCTGCCCTTGAGCAACTCACTCAGTTACCCCCAAGATGGCATTACACACCCACACACCCAATCATGGCCCCTCTGCAGTGTGTATTACTTTGATGAAAGGCGGATGCTCAGAGTCACGTCTTCGGTACAAGTAATGGGGTTTCTGGAGAGAAGGATGTGAGCTGAGAAAATGAACAATTACCACTCGAGTATGAGCAAACATAAATTTCAATTTGCCCCTTCAACATAATTTGAAGCGCAGCCAATTAACAGAAGAAAATGAAGTTGTGTTAGTATTCAATATGTGCTATAGCAATTATGTTTAATCTAAAATCATTTTTTCATCATTATCTTCTTCCCATCATCCACGCCCTTGTCACTAGATAATAAGTTCCTAATGATCCTAATCTGTTATGAATTTAGCTCAATTTTCTTGTTTTCTCTCCAACGTCGGCTACTCACTGCCAAGCATCTGAATATCAATCTTTTCCACAACCTCTCTGCTTCCTCTACTTTCTCACCCTTCTTCCCTTCAGTGATTCCCAAAAGCCAAGTGGATAAACCTCTTGAAATACATGCCGAAGTAAAGGTCTATATTATTAGCAGATATGAATGGATACACAGCAGAAATAGCTAGCAAAAAGGCTACACTAAGCTAAAAAGTCGATGCTAGCTTAAAGTTAAAGGAATAACTGTTGAAATGGATAAACGTAATGAATTAAAAACGTTGTTAGTTGCAAAATCTTAAAGGTCCCATGACATGGCCATTTCTACTGATCAAAATTCCATTGTTGAGGTCTACAAGAGTAGATTTACACTGTTCAATGTTCCTAACTCTCATTGGTTTCTCATACAGCATCTCTGTATAGTATTCACTCTCTGTCCTACACGGCTTGTTGGAGCTCCTGCCCCCCCATGAGAATGCTGCGTGGGGTCTGGGTGCCGTGTTGGCGGGACGTTGCGGGGCTCGCTGCTGTGAGGAGCGGACAGTGTGAGCTGGTGTAGTTTCCTGGTTGCTGCGCGGAGCCGCGGCTGAGAAAAGATAAGGCTGAGCGAGTGTGTGTGTGGGAGGAGCGGACCAATCCGCGGAGCCGATACGTCACTACGACCAGGAAGAACAAAATGGTAAAAGAGAAATCTCCAACGAGGCGTTCTGGGGCAGCATAGACAGGTCTTTTCTGTGTTAGAGTTTTACTCGCTACAGGGTGTACTTGGATACCTTTAAACAAAAGTAATAGATACGTTAGCTATAAGGAGGCTACATGGTTGAAACATTGCTAATAGTATTTTGGATTATTTCTATTTAGGCTAGGGGCTAGTGGTCTAAAAAGCAAGGGAAGAACTGAGGGAAATAGCTGCATGCTAGCTTATGATCAAGAACCGTTTGTTTTAAATGTTAAATGACATGTTAGAGAAAAAGCACACTGCCTAATCCATAAAAAGATCCGTATCAACAATCTGAAACAACCAACAATCTGCTAACTGAACGCATTAATGTGTCAGCACTATTTTAAGTGCTGAGGTCTGAGACAAAAACAGAGTCAACAGACTGAAGTGCTTTAGTGCTAGACAGGAAGTAAGGTGGACTTCCTGTAAGTTTCTAACTTATTCAGAGCACTTCTTTGCCCCTTTTTGACAAATCTGCTGAATCCCCTAAAATATCTTCTAGTAAGCTCCACAAAACCCCGAGGTCGACCTGGGCATTATCACTAAGTTAGGCCAATGGGAAAACTGTAAGATGTGGGAAACCTGAGACAAAAAAAAGGTTGTGAACCACTGAAGACACACAACATACAGACCCCCTGGCCCCTGACCTCCTCACATCCACGGCCCACGGCATCACCAGGGAGTTAACTTATTTAGAGCACTTCTTTGCCACTTTTTGACAAATCCATGATATTTATAGTAAGCTAAACAAAACCCGTGTGACCCACAGATCAACCCGGGTCGACCTGGGCATCATCACTAAGTTAAGGCAATGGGAAAACTGTAAGATGTAGGAAACCGGAGACAATGAGACACTGAAAACCACTCAACATTCAGACCTCCTGAGCTCCTCACCTCCAGGTACACGGCCCAGGGCATCACCAGCGAGGCCACCAGCAGGTCGGCCACAGCCAGGCTGACCACCAGGTAGTTGGTGGTGGTCTGCAGGGAGCGCTCCCTCACCACGGCCATGCACACCAGTACGTTTCCAAACACGATGGCCAGGATGAGCAGCGAGTAGAGCATGGCGTAGTAGTTACGCTCATCCTGCTCTGACGCCTCTGAGCTCTCGTTCCTCTCCGAGTCCCACCACAGGCGGTCCGATTCGTTCCAGACCCGCTCTGCGCTGCTAAACATCGCCATGGAGACGTCCCGGTGACATGGGAGATGAGATGTTCGGCAGACCTACCAAAGGGAAAGAGCAGAGTTTAGTGTTTATCCATTCAACACACAACCTACCCTCTATTGGTTCCTCTCACATCTCTTTAGATCACTAATATTCATGAACTAAAAGTTGATAATAAAAAAGCCCAATAACTTATTTACATAACAAGCTTGAAATATACCCTTCCTATTTCCTCTTATTATAATCAATCTGAGGCTCGTGTTTTAAGGAATGAGCTGCCAACAAGATAAATGAAGCCCTCTGGAGAGCTGGGATGTAGGCTGTTTGTTTTCATAAAGCATATTCAAGTACCAAGCATAATGTACCTACATTTGATTGATTTTGCTGACTTATAACTTAACTTATGAGGCAATATACCTCTAGTGAGCGGCCCAGCCCTCCGTATATTTGTATGTATGTGGCCCTCGGAGAAAAAAGTCAATGCAAGGCACGTTTATTCATATAGCACCTTTCAACACAAGGCCATTCAAAGTGCAAAAACAGCATTTAGAGCATTAGGAAATAGTGCAGCTGAGATGTGAAAAGTTCAATTAAAAGCAGCGACAGAGAGAAAAGTCTTCAGCCTTAGTAAGAGTTGCAGCGGACAAGAAATATGGAGCATAATAACTGAACGCTGCTTCTCCATGTTTAGTTCTGACTGAAAGCAGACCCGTCCCAGAAGACCTGAGAGTTCTGGATGGTTCATATAGAGATCAGAAATGTATTTGGCCCTAAACCATTCAGATGTTGGTGGCGGCATCATTTCAGGTCGAAGGCCCGCTGTGGAACATCTCTTGGCTCCTTTAGTAACATTAGTCAGATAGACTATGAATAAAACAGCTGAAAAGCATCCCTGCAGGGGTGTTCCTTGCAGTATACACTTGCTCAAGTGCTTTCCCCCCCTGCTGATTGAGAAATGAAGCAAATATCGATGCCTCCTGAAGCTCCTTGGATTCTACTGATAAGGAACTCGGTAAAAGACTCAGCAGAGATGAATGCTCTGAACAGCAAACTTCCTCAGCGCCATTCAGTCAGCCTCTCATAGCGTTCCTTCCTGCAACAACTTTGAATACGGCAAACTCCAAAAGCAGAGATGGTAACTTCAATGAGGGGCTGGCAGTTTGCCTTTGAGCAGTGTCGGGGAGGTTTGCTCATGAGGGAGGGGTAATGAGTCCAGTCTCAGAGGTCTGGTTGGCTGCCATCCCGGCTCTGCTCCTCGCAATCCATCCTCCCTGGCCTGAATCCACATATCATTGCTGTTAGTGCTCACACCTGTGTCTGCATGTTCAACACACTGATCCATCTCATGCAGTCTCTCTTCCTGCGACAGAAATGAAGAGGAAGAAGCTGAGATCATTTTTAGACCTGGCTCGAACCCAGTAAGGCTTTTTAAAGATTTTCTCAGTCTGTTACTCCACTCAATGGCTCCAGTGTCATTATCAACAAGAGAGGACGCAGAAACAGCCACTGATACCCATCCTATTGAAGCCTCCGGATAGGAGTGAGTTAATCAAAGTCAGGTGTGACAGGTCACCAAGATGGCAAATCATAAAACCACAAACACATTCATTTACATCCAGCGGCACTCGTTATGACACAAAGCTGCCGAGTGCTCCAGAATGGTTTGTTTGTACATTGTAACTCAAGTGGAAATTGAAACTGATTCCCCTTGTCACTCTTTTGTTCCCTCTCATATTAACCAATGGCAATGTGCAGAACTCTGACCTAAACGTGTTTGTGATCTGGACATGAATGGACCCTCAATTGCAAGCTTGTGTGTGCGTGTGTGTGCAGTCTGCAGCCATAGGAAATGGAAGGAGGTTGTTAGTGTATTCAAGATATAACTCTAATTATATGAGGCTTATAATTAATGTAGCATCAAGCTAATCAATTTACGCAGGTCTTTGCAGCCTAGATCAATCATTTGGTATTTTATCTCTTCCAAAATTGCAATGCCAAGGAAGATTAATTTGCGCAAATCTAACCCATATCATTAAATTCAATTAAACGCCCGAGATAGAGCCCCTTATCAGGCTCCATTATCACACCTCGAGATCAAACACAGTCCAGTAACAGAGGGATAATTGAAATGATCACCTTTCAGAGCGCACACACAATACAAAGAAGCAAAAAAATCGGAAGATAAGAATTTCATTTAAAAAACAGTAACAGGAAACTTCACACAGGCTTTTAAGGTTGATTTAGTGTGCGTAAAGTAAACAGTTTTACATACCTGTTACTGTTTCCCAGTTGAGAATTCATCAGATGCCATCGAGAAAAAGCATCCTCAGGCAGAGGGGAAAGTTATCCGGTTATCGCGCCCAGCCCCGCGCGGGAGGAGCGCTCGTGCCATTGCGCACAGCGGTCTGTGAATGTGGGAAGCTCCAAATGAACCACTGACTATCTACATTTGCACCAACCCTGTGTGGCTCTGTGGCTGTGTGAATGTGGTAACACGTGTTGGGTGTTTTATTTTTGTTACACTTTTTTGCCGGCTCATGACGCGGGAGGCACGCGTAATTGTGGAGACGTCAGGTGTCTCCCTTTTAGATGCGCGTTTAGGGCTGCAGTGGCAAATGAACGTGACTTATTATTACAACCCAAAGAACAGTTCAATTTCAACGTTGTTTTTTCACGTAAATTAATATTTTCTATGATACAACAAATGTGAATATGTCTGAATGTGTTTCAGTCCTGCCCCACGGCTGAAGTCCTTAACCTGACCCTGAACCATGCAGTCTGGGTTGCTGGAAGTGACATCATAACACAGGATCAGTACCTACAGAGCTTAAAGGAGGTCAGGCTAGTCTATGCATAACATGATCTATACTGGTATCCCACACAACCCCTTTTAACACAAGAAAAAACACAAAAAGCCCACTGCCGATAAGAATACAGCTAATATCACAATCCCAGCCACTGTGTTCTGTTCCTCTATCTCCAACATGGCATTTTAAGATAAGAGCGAACCCCCCTGCAGGATCCGAGCACACCAAACAAACAATGATATCAATGGGAATTGTTCGAGGGAAGGTGTTTGTATCCTGAACCGGTTCCAACTTGCAAAGAGTCCAATGTATTCATCAACATCAGAGACAATTCTATAGACCTTTGTGTTATTACATCATCATTAGGGTGGCAAATTAAAACCACGTTTCCAGATATTGCTATTTTTAACCAATGCACTCACTGTGCCTCCCATGAAGTGCATCTTTTAAAAAGGCCGTGAGCAGCAGGAGGGTGATGATCTGTTCGACGTCGCTGCAGCAGCTGACAAAGAGCCCTAACGGATCATTTTTCTCACTACCAACCTGAAGTCGGTTTGTGCTTTAATTTACGCTAAAGTGTCCAGATGTCCTTGGACATTTCAGCCATCCTTCTTCTCCACAGCTGCACGCAGGTTAATATCTCCTGTGAGCAGCAGCTGCAGCGAGGAGAATCTAACTGCAGCTGGCGTGAATCCATACATTAGAAACTAGTCAGAAGTGATGGTGTGTGACATGCATGCCGACTTGGGACTTAAGATGAGTGCACAGCGGTGTCTTCACTCATTCAACATCTAATAAATCCAGACGTCACTTGCTTTCCATTTACGCCTGTGTCGTGCAACACTCAGGAAATCAATCTGTCTCTCCCACATGAACGGCTGCTCCTGGAAGTGTGTCATTTTATTTTAAGAGGCTGTGTGATTCATGTGTTGAACCTGCAAAAAAAACAAATGTGTTTTTGAATAGTCCAAGCTTCTTTTTTTTCATGGTTACTGAGAGAATGAACTCCCTCCATGGAGAGACTTCACAGACCATTGATTACACACACACACACCTGCTGTAATGTTGGTGTTTTGCAAATGGCCCCGATGAGATTGATTGGGGTGAAGGAGAAGTGGACCTGCCCCCCCTCTGAATGGTCACCTCTGATCACGGTGCAGATTGAGATGCTGACAGCTCACAGGATGCATGGCTTTAGTGAAGGTCAGGCCTGAGAGGGCACAGCTACACTAATGACAGAAGGACAGTGAGTGGAATAATGGAGATAAACATTTGGGTGAAATGTTGCTGCCACCTACTGGCCAAGGGATGTAACTGCGTATAACCTGTACAACTCATGCAACATTGTATGTTCACAATGTAACGTGACAGTATTCAAATCAGTCCGTTTTCACATTAAATACGTCAATTATGAATGTGCATAGAAGAACTGGTTAAAGGAATACTTTACCCCCGAAATGAGAATTTGTATTTCATTTACTCACTCCTTTTTTATGAGTTCTTGAAGGAAACTTTGTTTGATTAAATGGAAGTAAATGGGGGCAAAATGTAACAACAGCAAGTATTAATAAAACATTTTAAGTTTGTGCAAGTTATCCAAATGTAATTTATCCAATCAGGGATCAAGGATTTTGATCTAAGATAATTTCGACATAGTGGAAAAACTGTAAGAAATGATCTTCTAGAGCAGAATTAGGACAAACTACGACAAATATGTACAAAGACAGAAAGTTAAAATGTGTATATAATTTTTAATCAACATCACGCACCTTCACAGTTATTGTCATGGAATACAAAGGTTACACAGCTCATACAAAACATTAGATATTACAGGTTTAAATTCAGTGTCTATAAAGATGTAGCAGTTAATATGTATGTAACTTATAGACTTTTATGGTATTCTGTATTATCTGTATTCAAAAGATGTCACTCAGCGTGGGTTCAGTTTCCTTCTAGCTCGGCCCACTCACTGTATCCTCCTTTATAATGTCTGGACCTGGGAAGAAGAAGCATGAAGAGAAGAGCTTAGCCTCTGATCACTGATGTTGCTGTTTCTACTAAAAAGGTCATGCAGCGTTCAACAAACCAAAGCAGGGTATGAGAACACTGCACTCTAATATGCAGCAGGACTGATTCATAATTGAATATATGTGCCATTAACAGTATAGCGCTCCGATGAAGCACATTATGTGGTTGACATTTTCCTACATGATTGCAATCTGAGTCACGCTCTTTAGGTAATAACTATTGCCCTTTAAAAGGTGATGTAATAATTGGACTACAGGTGCATACTGTGTCCGTTACCTGCTGAATCCCAGCCGGCGGGCGATGTCCAGAGCCTTGGAGCTCCTGCTGCCACTATTGCAGTGAAACACGATGTTGTCGTCATCTTTCCCAGGAGGCCTTATGTCAAATGTCTGCTGAAACTGCTCCGAGGACAGCTTCAGGGACTCCTCCATGTTGCCCACTGATATCCAAACAATATAAGATTTAAAAAAAAACATAGACAGGCCCCTTTAATCCCAGATGTGTTAACACTTACATGGGATGTTGACGGAGTCTGAAATGCGTCCAGCCTGGTATTCATCAGGATTTCTCACATCGAACAGCTGGATGTTTCCGCTGGACAGCATGGTCTTCAGCTGAGAGTAGGTCACCACAGAAGCTGAGGGGGAAACATTACACTTTATTATACAGGAAAATACACCTTTTTACCAATGGAATGCATGCTCCTGCTGCCTGTAAGAGCCTACACTCTTCCCTCCATTGGTTTATCCGAGCTGGTCACTGCTGTGAGGATAAACTAGACCTGTTCCCTACCACTGACAGACCTTTGTTGTGCACTTGAAACAAAATGCCAGTCAACCAAACTCTGTGTTTGAGACAATAACAGAACACACTGCAAGCCATTCAGAGTCACAATGCTGGCAGGAGGCATAGGCAGCCCCTGATAATGCCTTCAAAACATTATTCTTACTGCGTGTACATTATTCTTAATGCGTGTACACAGTGGCGGTTGGTGGAAAATATTTTTGGTGGGGCTATGGAAATAGGGACCAAACCATACTAAGGCGGTCCGGGGGGATCCTCCCCCGGAAGACATTTTTGAGAAATGACCCCTTAAATTATCTGGTGATGTTTAAGCAAATTGAGGCTTACAAATATGAGATAATCTTCAGTGTGGTTAGCTATGAATCTTCCAAAACTGTGCAACAGTACAGTAGGCCCACACACACTGCAGAACACTGGTGCTTTGGGAACACTCAAATGATTTAATTCCCATTTAAAATCAGGAGACTAAATACGAACATTACGTGTGTGTGTGTGTGTGTGTGTGTGTGTGTGTGTGTGTGTGTGTGTGTGTGTGTGTGTGTGTGTGTGTGTGTGTGTGTGTGTGTGTGTGTGTGTGTGTGTGTGTGGGTGTCATACTTGCCAACCCTCCCGATTTTCACGGGAGACTCCCGATTTCATTGCCCTCTCCCCGGTTTCCTCCCGGGGTCATATTTCTCCCGATTTCTGACAAAATCAGATTTACTCACGACTGTTTCCACTCGGACTTTAATACAGCTACACCATTGTTTGGTTTCCATGGTAGCGTGTCTCTTTAGCAGCGCGCACAACTTAAAGTTTGAGAGGGTGAGGAAGATGAAAACTGAACAAGAATCGACAACTCCACCCTCTGCTCACTCCTTTCCTGTAAAACACAGGTCCAGCCCACACATATGCTCCATGGTGCTACAGGCATTGCCCTTACAACTACAATAAGCATGTAAATGTTAATCTACAGCTCCGGCGATCCACTAGCATCGAGACGCAGCCATCCTCGACAACTACTGTAGCGTCACCTTGGATACGAGTCCAAACAACTCACAGACACACAGGCCAGGGCGCTGACAGGGCGCCCGTTGAGCATCAGATCTGACGACGCTGATTGGCTGAAATTGTTTCGGCGGCATAGTTTACAGATAGCAACAGTCAGCTTGTTGGCTGCTGCTGCTCTGGCTGAGGGCTCCTTTCTACCGCCCGGACGAGAGAGGGTAATGATACACGCTGCGGCCAGGCAGGAAACATGTGACTTATCAGTCACTTTAGATATCGTAAAACAATTTTAAACGAGATTTTATTGTAGATTATACATTTTACTGATACCAATTATATAATATTTACCTTGTACATTAAAAAAAAAGGATATATATATATATTTTTAAATATATTTTTAATTTTTAATGACAATCAAACATGTGGGAAGAGGGTGGGCGGCGCCCCTATGGGCCGGCCGCCACTGCGTGTACAATACTCAAACAGCATTCAAGGTTACATTTCATTACAGTAGATTGAGAGACACTGTCACAAAGGCAAAGAGGAATATAAGGCTTCCTGTTGGACCTGAGTGTTTGAGCATTTTTACCATTTTCGGATGCGTCTCCAAAGGTGGGACTGGAGGTTGTGAAAGCCCGTAAAACAGAGCCAAATGTCGGGTAAGAGCTGCGGTTTACTTCCGCAACAACCTGGCAGAAACTTCGAGACAGCAGGTAGGAGAGCATGGTGAAGACCAGTGTCACCTGCAGACTGCTGGGGAGAGGAAACATGACGCAGATTACAGAGGCCTTCTTCTTCTTCTTTTAAATGTGCCACAATAAACCTGCATTGGACGCCATCTTCAGGCGGGAAAGGGCACATAAACATCAATGTTCAGTATACATTAATTTAAAAAAACTGAGGGCATTATGAAAATAAAACAGAAAAAAAGGTCATGTGCGCAATTGTTGTATTTCTTTTACTCTTGCACAATTTAATATTTATTTTTGTATAATTACATGTTATTTAGAAAAAGCAATAAATACTGGGAACATTTTTGAAAGGCCACATTTGTGTATGAAATATTTTGCTGAAAGAAAGTCACATTTTCTTTTTGAAGTTTTACGTTTAGAGACCATAATTCCGTGGTTATCCCACATTATACTGCTTTTCATTTAAGCATGAGCACAATGTCTGCACGTGTTCACAAAGTACACAAACGCATGCATACAATAAGAAATGAATGGATGTATGGATAAAGGATGAATCATCACCTCTGGCATGTTGAGTGATGTATAGCCTATAGTCAAAATGTGTGTTTAGAAAGAGGAATGGAACATCTATTTCTAGTCCTAGAAACTTCAATTATTCATCCACTGTCAAGAAAATCAGTTTCTTTTAAACTGATTTAATCATAAAACAAACCAGTCTTTTGCATTGTTATGGGGGTTGTTCTAGTAAATAGAAGAAGAAAATAAAGCTCAGCTGCTTTGCAAGTTGTTTGACTCATTTTGTATCTTCAAAACTCGTGATTGAAATGACTTTTTTCCATTCAAAGGGTGTTGTCTGGTCACCAGCAGTGTTTTTTTTAAACATCATAGTCAGCTGTCACCATGCAAACAAAGCCCCGCCTCGGACTGAACCATATCATCTGTATAGAGGGGAACACAGAGAAAAGCCATACTAACATTTATATTGAGAAACTTCCTACATGGTTGCAAAAACGATGGATTGTTGAAAATAACAGCCACTACCGAGTGGATACACTGACAAGCATTATTGGCTGTTTTGTTCGGTTTGTGACACCGTTTTTGAAAGCAAACACCCCTACGTCAGTGGTATGATCCAAACAACAGAGTCACATGATTCCCTGACTCAGTCTGGAGGAACGTCTTACTGACAGCAATAAAAACAGGTCGTTTTGTTCGTTTTTTAGCTGATATTTCGACACTAAGACGATCACAAGATGTCGTGTGGAAAGGGAATGATGTGTGGAGGGGTTTCTAATGTTTCAACTGAGGCCGACGAAAAAATCCAGACGATCTGTGATGGGGTAAGTACAATAAACAAAGAAAGGGCCTATTGTTGTTATTATTATTTAACATTGATTTGAGTTTCATTTTTAATTCTGCTGCCTTTTCATCTTCCCTCAGGTAAAGGCCGCTGCTGAGGAGAAAGCAGGCAAGAAATATGAGGTTTTCAAAGCCAAGAGCTACACCTCTCAGGTTGTGGCTGGGACCAACTACTTCATCAAGGTAATTATCATTTACAAAGAAAACATTATTGCCCGGAAACCACTTTTACTTAGTAGCAAACATCAAGTGAGATTAAAGCGATCATAAACAGAGGTGGGAGAAATACTCAGATCTTGTACTTGAGTGAAAGTGGAAGTACTAGAGTGTATAAATACTCTGTTACAAGTAAAAGTCCTGCATTCAAAATGTACAAAAGTATAGTTAAATTACCAAAAGTAAAAGTAGTCATTGTGCAGATTGGCCCATTTCAGAATAATATATATGATATGTTTTATAATGATTGATCATGAAAGTGTTCTCAAAGCTGGTAAAGGTGCAGCTAGTCTGAATGGCTTTGTATACTGCAGGGTAGCTGGTGGATTTACTCCAGGTGGAACTAAAGTCTGATTCAACACTTGATTATATTTCACATCATTCATCCACATCTGTGAAGTAACTAAAGGGATTAAATACATGAGTAAAAGTACACCATTTACCTCTGAATTGTAGTGGAGTAGAAGTACAAAGTAGCATAGAATGGAAATACTCAAGGAATGTAGAAGTACCTCACAATTGTACTTGAGCACAGTACTTGAGTAAATGTACTTAGTCAGTCAATCTTTGATTTAGACGATTTAGCTGTGAGTTTCTCCAACCTACGAGATAGAAAGAGATGAATATCAGGGTTGTTTTACAGCTGGTTCTTGTGCCTCCTATTTGCCAAGATCTCATAACGTTCTACTTGTACTTTCTTGCAGGTCCATGTTGGAGAAGAGGATCACGTTCACCTGCGTGTTTGGGCAAAGCTCCCACATCAGGGATCAGGGACAGAACTGAGTGCCATTCAGCAAGGAAAGAGCCACAGCGACCCTATTGAGTACTTCTAATAAGATCCTAAATAAAACAACGCATCAGTGCCTACGGCTGCTCTTATCACAGTTATAATCAAATAATCCTGGCTTAGTCTATAAAACAATGCACTTCCCATTCCTCACTTTTTTTTAATCTTACAGAATAATACTGTATTAATCAGGATTACATGTAACTATTTTGTATAAAGTGAATTAATAAATGAACCAGATTCTTTTCTGAAATGTGAAGTGTTGTCTTTATTTCTGTGGGATCTGAATTGTGAAATCGCTGCGGGGTCCAAGGCGTGTCTACAACTCTCAGGTATTGTGAATAAAAAAGGGTTGGGCAAAGACGCGATGAAAACAAACCACAGTCCACTCATTACTGGATGATCTACCTTTTGAAGCCGCAGTTCGTTTGACGTATAATTCAAATGATTTCTATGTAAACTGTAATCATTCCCACTGAATACGGAACACTCTGGACATTAGTTCATGTTTATCATTTTAAATCTGTTTGACAAACATCAGATTTATTCACTATCTGTGTGTCCTGATGATTTTGCATTTATACTTTAAGAAGATTGCCTTTTTATTGGGATGTACTGCCAGTATAATGGTGTCAGTGTACACTGTGTATTATTTACTCCTAAAGTCCTCATCTCAAAGTTTACTGAAAGGAGGATAAGCAGAAACAGTTGACACTATCACAGGATTTGGAAAACAGTGAGTGGAAAAAGTAATAAACTGACATGTCAATACGTGTTTGACCTCTGTACCATACTGCTGTATACGGAAACATCACTTCTAATATATCAAAAAGGTTTATAGGTTTTTAAATGGTTCTCATGAGGGTTCTTACAACCACAAACGCCATTGACTCCTTTGTTTACTTCCGGAACATAGTGACATCACTATGAAATACTCACACTCCTATTGGCTAGCGCTCCAACACATTGTACGTGATTGGCTAAGGGGCAGGACATCTCTAAGCGGTTGACCTCATAACGTGCGTATGGCACTCTCAACTCTTTCCAGGACATGCCGGGGCCCTGCCTGCCAGTAGCTTTGCCGATATCTGTGTTGATAGGTAATAGATTAAGAGCGGTGAATCATCTTAGAAACAGGAAGCGCTCAAATGTTTGTGTGAGTTTATCTAATTTAGCAGTGATTCCATGTCAGCCACAGCTTGTTACAAAAAACATGACTGATAGTGTGTCGAACAAACTTAAACTAGCTTTATTAAATGTCAGGTCTTTGGCAGGAAACACATTTTTAATCAATGATTTTATCACTGAGCACAATCTCGATTTTATGTTTTTAACAGAAACTTGGATTGAACAAAATAACAGTGCAGCTGTTCTTATCGAATCAACCCCTCCCAACTTTAGTTTTATGAGTCAGGAAAGAATGCATAAGAAAGGGGGTGGAGTTGCTATTCTGTTCAATGATTCGCTTCAATGCAGGAAGACATCTTATGGGAACTTTGCTTCTTTTGAATATGTGGCCCTTCAGCTGAAATGCTCCTCTCGAGCTCTCTTCCTAAATATCTATAGACCACCCAAATACTGTGCAAGCTTTTCTGATGACTTTACTGAACTGCTGTCTATAGTGTGTATTGACTTTGACCGTCTGGTCATTGTTGGTGATTTTAACATCCATGTTGACAACCCCCAGGACAGAGGGGCCAAAGAACTGTTTTGTGTTCTTGATAGCTATGGACTGACTATGACGGAGCCCACGCACAATAAGGGGCACACTCTGGACTTAATTATCTCAAAGGGTGTGAATATCTCTAAGGTTGTGGTGACTGATGTTGCACTCTCTGACCATTCCTGTGTTTTCTTTGAGAGCTCTATTTCTGTTCACAAACATGTTAAAAAAGAGGTAACCACAAAGCGATATTTAACTGAAAACACTAGGGAAATGTTTACTCAGAATTTCTCTTCCACACTTGCCCCTGCTAACATCTCAGTAAATGAGCTAGTAGATCATTTTAATTCAAAAATTAAAAATGTTATAGATGCCATTGCTCCAACTAAGGTAAAGGAAGTGTCTGGCAAGAAAATATCTCCATGGAGAAAGGCCATGACCGTGAGAGCAGAAAAAAGAGAATGTCGAAAAGCTAAAAAAAACAAATCTCCAGGTTCACTTTGAAATCTATAAAGAGAGACTTGGCCTTTATAATTTGGAATTGAAAAATGCACGACAATCGTTCTTCTCTGACATCATTACCAAAAACAAAAACAACGCACGTGCCTTGTTTGCTACCGTCGACAGACTAACTAACCCCCCAGTGTCAGTAGCCTCTGCATTTCTATCCACCAGGGCGTGCAATGATTTTGCCTCCTTCACTGACAACATTCAGAAAATCAGACAAGCAGTCAGTGCCTCTGCATCAGGAACAGCAAATGTGTTGTCTCTGTGTCCACTTAACATCAATTCAAACACCATGACACAATTCCATCAGATTAATGATAAAAACCGAGAGGACATTATACAACTTCTGAAATCCTCCTCTTGCTGCCTTGATATTATTCCAACAGGATTTTTCAAAGATGTTTTGCCTTGCATGGCCTCAGATCTACTTCATATAGTAAACAAATCTCTTCACTCAGGTATTTTTCCACAGGCCCTGAAAACTGCAGTCATTAAACCGCTCTTAAAAAAGAATAATCTAGATGCTTCAGTAATGAACAATTACAGGCCCATATCAAACCTGCCATTTCTAGGTAAAATCAT